TGTCACGGTAGGGTATCGAGAGCCAGGAAAGCTTTGTCCCCTGTTCGTTGGTACGCGTGCTACATTCCCCTTCACTCATACATAATCTTCGTTGATGTCACGTGTAGCAGTTGGTTCGGTTTGTGCCTGTGTTCCTTTTTCGCATTGTACCTGTAAGGTGCCATTTCCTGCGCATTCAACTCCATTATCTCAAGCATCCAAGCCCTTTCCCATTGCCATATTTCTCCAATAGTTGTTGTACTTGTGCAGTGCTTCCTGTCCGGCCGCCATGTCTGCTCCGTCAGGTCGTGCAGGAAATCGACAGCAGCGGTTGCCGTACTGGTCCGTTCCCAACTATGTTGTCCCGGCGAGCCTCTACGGGGAAGACGCGTAGGCAGTCACAGATCTCTCCCTAGAAGGTGTCCAGGCAACGGCTCGGCACTCAAATGGGCGAAGAGTCTGGTGCAGTGCAGGGGGGCAGTAACAGGCACAGCGGCCCTGTTTGGTAACGGCTGCCCACGAAACCCAACCCCCCCCCCCCACCGAGGGACGTCCACCCGGCCGGCCTGCAGAGAACCCTCCACAGCCCCTCCGGGCCGCCCCCGATGCCACCGACCCACAAGGGGCACGGCAGAGGCAGGAGACTTGAGCCAAAATGGCTACGGCGAAGCCCTCTCCCTCTCTCTCTCTCTCTCCTGCTTCTTCTTCTTCTTCTCAGGGCTCTACACTCCCTCGAACAGAGAGAGTGCCGGCGCAGCGCCAAGCCCGCGCAAGGTCCAGGTCTGCAGTCCGACCAGTGAGGCCCCAGGTGCCAGCATTAGCCCCTCACAAAGCAATCAAATCGCGATGCATAAACAACAAGTGACCCCTGGTTACATACAATAATATATGGGGATTATATAGGGGATAATGGAACAGAAAATGGAAACTACTATATTATAATGAGGTATATCTTAGGGATGATTCGGTAGCGGCTAACACCCCGCAGGCTACTCCAGCTTGCCGTGAAACTTCCACGGCTGCCCGGTCATCCCCTGACCCATCTACGCATCAACAACAGACACCACCTGCTACAAACACAACACGCTCTGTCGCTGTCTGACTGTAAACTTTATGAATCCCTTTCACACGTCTCCCTATATAACTCATATCATCTCGATCTAGCCTACACTCTTAACCCAAGCTACCCCTAATTATGATCAGTATACACAAGCAGCAGGAATCTAAGTTGGCGGCCCACAGCAGCGCCAGCGATGGCCTGGCGGCCGTCGGACGTCTGCCTGGAAGGCCGCGTCCAACTGAAACGGATTCCTGACGGTTTCGGCAAGCACGTCGCACTGCTGGCATGGGAACAGTTCCCTGGACCAATTGTCTGGAGAGCAGGAGATTCCAGAGAGTCCACTTGCAAGCACGGAACCCCATAACCCCTAGTTAATAATGAGCCCCAAAACTACATCCAGAATGTCATGTTGCCTTTATCAACACGCGGTGACTATACTGGTCTGCCTCCCTGATGGTTTATGGTTTAGGCTTTGCAGTTTATGGTTCAGGGAGGAGAGGCTCAGGGTGTCTGGTCCTACAGTTTGGAGTGCATGCTCAACAACAAGGATCAAATGGGCAAGAAAACGGAAGACAAACGGGAAAATCACATTCTGGCATTACGGACATCCACGACACCCTTACGGGAAGGCAAGATTGTGATGCATGAAAGCATAAATGAAACCCTTGCATAAGCCTTGGGGTTGGGGGTCCCTAAACCCTTACCTTCTAAACCCTTTCAACGCTGAACCCTAAAAGGGTTTGAGTGCATCTGGGTTATGTTCAAGTTTATGGCTTCAGGCTTTTCTGGGCACGCTTTGTACCACTGCGCTCAATGCACCTTTGAAATACAGAGTAATCCCCCTCTCCATAATATTATAATCTCCACCACCCTAATATTCAATATTCCCAAGATATTATAGTATGCCGCAATTAGATTTTGTCATATTTCGGGCTGAAGGTTAAATATAGGTAAATATAAGGGGGAATGGATTACCCGAAATGGCAAATCTTTAACCCTGCCGGGCGAGGCCTTGCTCCAATCGAAATTCCATGCGTAAAACCTCGCAACTTAGGGGTTAGGAAAAGTGCCAGGCCACCCAATATGACTG